TAGATAAAAATAATAAGACAGAAAAGTGTCAAGTACAGGGAAGAAAATATAGAAATAAGGTTTGGCCAGTGGCACGTGCACCCAAACAGTGGTGAAGACAGGACAGGCTCCTTATGTGACCTGAAAACAGCCTGGATATCATGCCCCCAACCAGCTGCCAGTCAACAAGCCCAGGCCTTCTCTGAGACCATGTTCACCCTATAAAGCAACCAGGTTTCTCCGCACACCCTCAGTTGTCTAGCTGTGTGGGACCTTCATGAAGCCAAGTCCTACCAGAAAGACAGAACATGTGAGTCATCAGCACTGATGCAGAAAGACTCAGCACACAACAGCCCATGGGAAAGAAAGTTAATATCATTAAACAAACAAACTAGAAGGAGTGAGTAAGAAGAGCCCACTGTCCCCATAAGTATAGACCATGACAATGACTACAATCATGACACAGGTAGCCACAAGAAAATGTCAGCTAGCAGATGGGGGTGCAGGGAACTTGGGACACAAGGTGTCATGGATCTGAACACAGACAGCCAGCGAAGAAGAGAGCAAGCAAGAGAGATCCATTCGGCTGACTGAAGAACACCCATTTCCCAGACCACTGGGCAGCAGGTGTTAGGGCTGCTCAGGCAGTGCACAGTGCTGGCTCCCATAGCACATATCCCAAGAGAGTGGGGAAGTCAGCAAAAGAGCATAGACAGACCAAGACACTGGAGTTGGTGTTAGGGCCTTACCCAGTGAGGCTACAAGGGCAAAGTTCTCCAGCATCACTTCAAGGTACAGGCGTCTCTGAGCCTCATCAAGAAGTCCCCACTCTTCCTGTGAGAAGTAAATGGCGATGTCCTCAAAGGTCACACAGCCCTGTCATGATGGGGATAGGTCACTCCACAATCAGCGCCTCCACATCAAGTTCATCCACCCACTCATTCATCCCCACCTTAAGGAAATACACACCCTGGTGACACAGATGCCCACTCTCTCTTCGTGGTCCAGTGATCACTGTATCCTTCTACAGTACCAACCAGGAGGTGGGCAGGATGCACCACATCGAAACTTTGGGCCCAGTATGTAGGGGTGTATCCCTTCTTGTCAGGCAGTTCCCCAAGAATCTTTCAGATAGTGCCTCCTAGACACAATCAAATGTGGGTTCACATTTCACCCTTAAGTCCTCAATGCCAGGGGCCTGGGTCCTTCAGTTCACACTCCCTCTCCATGTGCACATCATTCTTTGAACCATTCTCGCTCAGTCTCACTCCCATAGCCACCTCAACCCTTCTGCCCACCAAATTGAGACAGCATTCAGTGCTACACAGACCTCTGATGGTTCCTACTGTCATAGACAGCCCTCATCCTGCTCTGAAGGGCTATCTTCCTGACTCTCTTCCTTGCTTCAACCTCAGCCACCAAGAATCACTGATGTCAGACACTGATGACCGTCCTCCACTTGTGCTGCACTTGATGTCCCCTCTTCAGTCAACAACCTTCCTCTCACCTCTTAACTTTCTTTCAAAATCAGTGCCCTCGGTGGCACAGACTCTCAGTGGCTCTCTACCTCCAACCTAATGACTCATACAGATGAACACTTGTACTACTAAACTTATTCAACTGCTTGACTGACACCTTCCCCAGACACATCAAGGGTCACAACAAATTCCTGGTGAGGTTTTACCATGGTGAATAAGCACTAGTCCTAGTGTTTTCATCAGTTTGGGCTGCTAGCATAATACCACAAACTGGGTGGCTTATCAACAACAGAAATTTATTTCTCAGAGATCTGCAGGCGGGAAGCCTGAGATCAGAGTGCCAGCATGGTCAGGTTCTGGTGGGGGCTCTTTCCAGGTTGTAGACTGCTGACTTCGTATATCCTCACTTGGTGGAAAGAGCACTAGGTAGTAGCACTCTGGCCTCTTTGTTTAAGAGCACTCACTAATCCCATTCATTAGGGCTTCACCCTCATGACCTAATTATCTCCCAAAGGCCCAACCTCCAAATACCATCACACTGGAATTAGCGTTTGAGCATATGAATTTTGCAGGGATACAGTCCACTGTACCTGGCCTCAGTGTCATCTTCTACCAAATATTTCTTTGTCTCCATGTCTGTCTTATGTCCTCAATGCCTTGGAAGCCTTGACCACTTACCAGATGATATGATTTGGCTGTGTCCCCACCCAAATCTCATCTTGAATTGTAGCTCCCACAATTCCCACATCATGGGAGGGACCTGGTGGGAGGTAATCAAATCATGGGGGCAGGTCTTTCCCATACTGCTCTCATGATAGTAAATAAGTCTCACAAGATTTGATGGTTTTATAAGGGGGGAGTTCCCCTGAACAAATTCTCTCGTCTGCTGCCATGCAAGACGAGCCTTTCGCCCTCCACCATGATTGCAAGGCCTTCCCAGCCACGTGGAATCATGAGTCCATTAAACCTCTTTTTCCTTACAAATTACCTAGTCTCGAGCACATCTTTATCAGCAGCGTGAAAATGGACTAATATAGTAAATCAGTATGAGTAAAGTGGGGCTCTGCTGTAAAGATAACTGAAAATGTGGAAGCGATTTTGGAACTGGGTAACAGGCAGAGGTTGGAACAGTTTGGAGGGCTGAGAAGAAGACAGGAAAATGTGGGAAAGTCTGGAACTTCCTAGAGACTTGTCTTTATCAGCAGCGTGAAAACGGACTAATATACCAGATCATCCACTTTCCTACAATCTTCCCATGACCACTTTTCTTCCACAACTGTTTGTGATGTTCACCACCTCTACCACGTGTCCAAGCACGAGACACAGTCATAGCCCTGACCTTTCCTTTTCTGTTTTTGTTTGTTTGTTTGTTTTTTGGTTTTTTTTTTTTTGAGATGGAGTCTCACTCTGTCACCCAGGCTGGAGTGCAGTGGTGTGATCTTGGCTCACTGCAACCTCCACCTCCCAGGCTCAAGCAATTCTGCCTCAGCCTCCGTAGTAGCTGGGATTACAGGTGCCCGCCACCATGCCTGGCAAATTTTTTTATTTTTAGTGGAGACAGAGTTTCACCATGTTGGCCAAGCTGGTCTAGAACTCCTGACCTCAAGTGATTTGCCTGCCTTGGCCTCCCAAAGTGCTGAAATTACAGGTGTGAGCCACCACGCCCAGCCCTTTCCTGGGTTATTAATAGCATTACCTTCATGACCAGGATTACCCACTCCTAATTGTGACCCACAGCTACTCTGGGCCAAACGCTGGCCACCACCTTTTGGATTTCTCTGTCTTAAACCGCTTCTAGAATTCCAGATGTACATGGACAGCTACTCACTTGATGTCTCCATATATCATTCTTTGGAACATCTCAGACTATGATAATAGCTAAAGACAGAACTCCTGTTATCCTTAATGAAAATTAATTGGCTGGGCATGGTGGCTCACGCCTGTAATCCCAGCACTTTGGGAGGCCAAGACGAGTGGATCACCTGAGGTCAGGAGTTCGAGACCAGCCTGGTCAACATGGTGAAACCCTGTCTCTACTAAAAAAAAAAAGAAAAAAAAGGTCATGGTACTATGTGTCTGTAGTCCCAACCACTCAGGAGGCTGAGGCAGGAGGATCGCTTGAACCTGGGAGGTGGAGGTTGCAATGAGCTGAGATTGAGCCACTGCTCGATCTGAGTGACAAAGTGAGACTCTGTCTAAAAAAAAAATAAAATAAAAATAAAATCAATCCTATTACATGCTATTTGATGGAGCTTCCATCCTCCCAGATGCTAAACTCAAAACGCCTGGAGTAATGCTTGACTACTATCTCTTACCCTCAAAATCTGAAAATGCAAGCAGGCCTAATTAAAAATCTGACCCAGAATCCAGCCACTTCTTCTACCTTCACAGCCACCACATTGGTGAAGCCACTATCAAAACTCACCTTGGCCACTGCAGTAGCCTCCACCCTGGTTGCCTCCATCACACCCACAGAGTATTCTCTATGCTGCATTAACAGTGAACCTGATGAGACCAGTGTCAGATAACCTCCCTCCTCTTCTCTAAACCTCCCATTGTTCCCATCACCTCCAGAAAAAAACACCCAATTTCTCAGAGCCATTCCAGACCTGAGTCCTGCCCTGCTGCTCTGAGTTCCCATGAGAAAGAAAGGAGAGTTGGGTTCCCCTGAACCAGCTCAGCTTCACTGCCAACTTTACATATTATTGTACCTAGGCGGGACAACCTTTCACACCTCATTCCATTGTCTGCCAGCAATAAGAACTTCTACAAATAACCACCAGTCTAGAATCAGGATGTCAAGCTTGGGGTTTGTGAAGAGTCCTTAGGTCAAAGAACTGGATGGTGGCAAAAAAGATACATGAAGAAACCCCAGGACGGGGCCAGGACCAGTGAGGGCCTGGGACACCCTCCACTCACCTTTGTGAGGTCCATATGTGTTTCTGGAGACACAGTCACCTGTGGAAAGCCGAGGATCATGAAAGGCAGGTGACCATACAGGGCTCTACTGATTCAGGCTTCCCTGGATTCCTGACCAGGACAGAGCCAGATGGACTGATGATGTCTGCATTATTTCTGAGCCTCAGCTTTCCAGTCCTCAGTGCTACCTCTTAGCAACTGTGGGACCTTGCACAAGAACTCAATCTCCCTGTGATTCTGTGTTATTCCATTCTGTTCTAGTCTAACTCCGTGAGGTTTTTGGAAAACTTAGAAAGACCTAACTCAGACCATACGCCGCTTCTGTACACAACCCTCCACAGCTCCTACCATCCTAAGAATTGAGGGAAAACTCCTCACTTTGGCACTCCAGGTATGAACCTTTTTCACTCCATCTCCAAGAGTTTAGAAACGCCGGTCCCTTTGCCTGTCACCTTCTTCCATGCCTCATCACCCAAGTTCTGGAAATAGGGACTCCACCCACGAGCCCCCACTGTACTGGACATGAGGATCTCGACCCTAGCGACCCAAGAAGGCACCCCTTACTGGGCTTTAGAATTTGAGTGAGGATGAAGGAGGGTGAGGTGCAGTGGACGCAGCGCTCACCTGAGTCGGGGCCCTCAGCGCAGCAGCAGCCATCGGAGTCTGGGCAGAGCGGGGCCGGGACCCGACAGCGACGGGCGCGGGGACCTGGGCAAAGCCGTCAACCCCGCCGCCGCCGACCCTTAGACCCCCGACTGTTCAGCGGGAGGACCCCTCCCCTCGCGCCTTCCGACTCTCTCGCCAAACAAAGCGCTCCCAAAGCTCTGGACGGTCTGGATGCACCCAAGCGCTGCAAAAATGACCGCCACTGAAGTGATACAGGAAGTACCTCCCCGACCTATTGGTCCCAAAGCGGAAACGACCCTTTTCTCAGCGCGGATTGGCTCAGCATCTCTGCGGCTGGAGCCGAAACCTTCTGGGTAATGTAGTCCCGCCGGTACGCAGGGCGCAGGAAAGGATGCTGCGGCCCAGAGTCACCTCAAACAAAAGCCAAGCGGCCGCGCTGGGGGCGCAGGGAGATGGCGTCGCCACAGTCCAGGAGAGGGCTGGGCCTTGTCGCTCCTTAAACGGGCCGCTGGTCCATTTCTGTGGTCCCGTCGCGGCTGAGCGCCCACGTGGTTAGAGGCATTGATTCAGGCTCGGGAAGCTGAGGCCGGATCCACAGGTGTTCGACGCGCCTGCGGGAGCGAAGGAGCTTCGTGCCCCTCCCTGGCGGGGTCAAGGCGTTGGAGGCCGTGCCAGGGCCGAGGATGTTCTGTGAAAGACAGGAGCGATCTAGGTGTGGCGCTGTGGGCAGGTGTTCCCGGAGGCCACGTGGGGGCCGCGCCCGCGCTACTCCTGCTCTGAGCCCCTTGACTGTCCCTAGATGAGGGAGGCGGGGCCGAGACGTCCCATGGGAAGGGGTCCTGGGCAGCTCTCCCCCGGGGACTTCTTCTCTTGGGGAGGGCAAGCTGGGGAGGCCCTGGAGCGGCCGAGGAAAGTGCCTCTGCTTCCCTGAGTCCCCTCCAGGGTCTGGGAGCCGCTCCTGCGTTTTCTGACGCCCCCTTCACCGCCCCTTGGCTGAGAACTGGGTCCAGATGAGCCTTGGACCCCACTGAAGACATCGTCTACCTCATCTCCCACACCTGCTAGGACCATCTCTGTCCGCCCTCAGGGCAGTAGGGAGGTAGGCGGGTTCCCAGGGCACCCCACGCGGTGGCGTACAGTGGTAGGAACAAGGCCTCTGGAGCTCAAGAATGGCATTTAGTCCCCGGGGGGAAATCCATGCTCTGCCTTCCAGCAGCTGACTCAGCCTATAGGGATACTCTTAATGGCCTCCACGAAGGTGCAGGTATAACGGCTGGACCAGTCTCATCTGGCCATCCTCTGTTGGTAACAGAATGTCTAGTTATTTTGCAGGCACAGAGCTGAAGAGTTGCAAGTTACACAGCTAGAGAATGTGCAGAAAAGAAAAATGTCAGGCCCGGCGCGGTTGTCTCATGCCTGTAATCCAAGCACACTGGGATGCTGAGGTGGAAGGATCACTTGGGCAACATAGCCAGACCTCGTCTCTACAAAAAATAAAAAATTACCCGGGTGTGGTGGTGCACCTGTAATCCTAGCTACTCAGAATGCTGAGGTGGGAGGATCGCTTTAGCCCGGGAGATCGTGGTTACAGTGAGTTATGATTATGCCACTGCACTCCAGCCTGGGCAACGGAGCCAGACCCTGTCTCGATAAATAAATAAATAAATAAATAAAAAGAAAAGAAAACATTGACCCAACACCTGGAACTGAAGTCTCACCTACCAGACTCCACCCTGCCACCACCAGGAAACCAAAATCCCGGGCTATGGCCGGAACCCAAGTGTTGAAACACTTCTGAAAGCAAGGGGTCTGTTGTCTCTGAATCTTGGATGATAACACCCCTGTCCCCGCCTTGCCATCAATAGATTTGTTTGAAGTCCTTCCAATCAAAATCCACCCTTCCAGTGCTTACCAACCTGTCCTTCCTAATCCTTAAAAGCTGCCCCAAACCCCATACTGGGGAGATGCATTTGACCTGGACTCCTGTCTTCTTGTTTGTGGATTTGCAATAAAGGTTTGCTTTTCTTTTCTTTTCTTTTTTTTTTTTTTTTTTTTGAGACAGAGTCTCACTCTGTCCCCCTGGCTGGAGTGCAGTGGGGCGATCTCGGCTCACTGCAAGCTGCGCCTCCCGGGTTCGGGCCATTCTCCTGCCTCAGCCTCCTGAGTAGCTGGGACTACAGGCGCCCACCACTGAGCCTGGCTAATTTTTTGTATTTTTAGTAGAGACGGGGTTTCACTGTGTTAGCCAGGATGGTCTCGATCTCCTGACCTTGTGATCTGCCCGCCTCAGCCTCCCAAAGTGCTGGGATTACAGGCGTGAGCCACCGTACCCAGCCAAAGGTTTGCTTTTCTCAAAAACCTGGTGCCATGGTACTGGCTTCTGTGTGCATCAGACAGCAACCCTTCTCCTTAGTAACACTGGCACTCTCTCGGTGCCACCGTTCTGCCCTTCACTACCCTCTGGTCCCAGAGGCCAGCAGCCCCCACAATGGCCACCTAACACATGCCCTCACCCTCACTGTCCTCTCAGAGTTGCCACATCAGATCAAACATGGCTCCTCAAACTTCAAGCATGTGTGTCCATCTAGGCATAGAACTAGTGGGATTGCTTGGATAACTTGGGGAGGAGGGATAGCCTAGCTAGGTTATCCTACTCTGTGTGGCATGTCCAGGGGACTAAATGACCCACCTGCTCCTGAGGCCCAGTCCTTCAGGGAGAAGCCCAGCCAGAGATGAGGGAGGCTGCCAGTGATCACAAAGCAGTAATAAACTCCATCTATAGCTAAACTTAAGTGAGACCAACAGTCAATAAGTATCTAAAGAGAAAGCTAAAAAACATTGAAGATAGAGTGCAAGAAAGTGTGAAGCCCTTAGGATGTGCATGGGTTGTTTTGTGTTTTCTTTCTGTGTGTGTCTCCTTGGCACAGCTATTCAAGTACAGCTTGGCAGTGTCATTCATAAAGTCTACTAACTTCTATTGCTGTTCACCCAGTTAATCCCAAGGGACTCCACAGGTACCAAATGGTATGGGGGAGTGTTAACCTCAAGGACCATGACATCTAGCAAGGGACTGAAGACAGCAGAGGCCAGCTCCACCAGCAGGTAGAACATACCAGAGGGCCCAGGTTTAGCTCCATCCTGTCTTTATTTTTTTTTATTTCTTATCTTTAGTCCTTAGGGGTACAGAGTAGGTATATATATTTATGAGTTACATGGCATAGTTTGATACAGGCATACGGTCTGTAATAATCACATTGGGATAAATGGTATCCATCACCTCAAGCATTTATCATTTTTTTGTGTTATAAGCATTCTAGTTATACTCTTAATGATGTTTAATTCTATAATAGATTATTGTTGACTGTAGTCACCCTGTTGTGCTATCAAATACTACATCTTATTCCTTCTATCTGACTATATTTTTTCATCCATTAACTATCCCCACTTTCCCTTCCATTTCTGCTACCCTTCCCAGCCTCCATGGCTGCAAATTTTCTAATTTTTCTAAGTACAGTCTCAGGTACTTCTTCATAGCAATGCAAGAATGGCTTAACATAGAAAATTGGTACAGAGGAGTGGGGCATTGCTATAAAGATACCTGAAAATGTGGAAGCAACTTTGGAACTGGGTAATGAGCAGAGGTTGAATGAGTTTGGAGGGTTCAAAAGAAGACAGGAAGTTGAGGGAAAGTTTGGAACTTTTTAGACACTGGTTAAATGGTTGTGACCAAAATTCTGATAGTGATGTGGACAGGGAAGTTCAGAACGATGATGTCTCAGATGGAAATGAGAAACGCATTGGGAACTGGAGCAAAGGTCAGATGTGTTATGGCTCAGCCAAGAACTTGGCTGCATTGTGCCTATGCCCTAAAGATCTATGGAAGTTTGGACTTTAGAGTAATGACCAAGGATAGCTGGTGGAAGAAATTTCTAAGCAGCAAAGCTTTCAAGATGTGGCCTGGCTACTCCTAAAAGCCTGTGCTAGATGCTAGAGCAAATAAATTACCAAAAGATATAATTTATATTTAACAGAGAAGCAGAGAAAAAAAATTAGAAAATTTGCAGCCATGGCCAGGCGCGGTGGCTCACGCCTGTAATCCCAGCACTTTGAGAGGCCGAGGCGGGTGGATCACGAGGTCAGGTGATCGAGACTATCCTGGCTAACACAGTGAAACCCTGTCTCTACTAAAAATACAAAAAATTAGCTGGGCATGGTGGCAGGTGCCTGTAGTCCCAGCTACTCGGGAGGCTGAGGCAGGAGAATGGCGTGAACCTGGGAGGCGGAGCTTGCAGTGAGCCGAGATCGCACCACTGCACTCCAGCCTGGGCGACAGAGCGAGACTCCATCTCAAAAAAAAGAAAAAGATAAAGAAAATCTGAAGCCTTGATATGTGGCACAGAAAGAAAAAGCCTTTTTTCTGGGAAAGGAAATCAAGCAGGCTGTGGAGCAACCACTTGATAGAGGTATTTTTATAACTAAAGGAGAGACAACTTCTGCACCCATAAGCACACATATTTAAGGCCCACTTAAACTAGAAAAATACATGTTAGGTTTAGTACTGGAGGTTATTGGGCATGGTATGACAATTTCTTTCTTTTTTTTTCTTTCTTTTTTAAAAAAAGAGACAAGGTCTTGCCTTGTTACCCAGGCTGGAGTGCAGTGGTGTGATCATAGCTCATTGGCCTCAATGTCACTATGCCCAGCTATTTGTTTTTTTAGATATGGGGTCTTGCTATATCGCCCAAGCTGGTCTCGAACACCTGGAGTCAAGCAATCCTCCTGCCTCAGGCTTCCAACGTGCTAGGATTACAGGCATGAGCCATCATGCCTGGCCAACATATTTATTTTTGCATATTGAACTCCTCATTGTTCTGGTACCAAATAAAATCAAGTCTTATAGATATTAATGTGATGGCTCCTGCCAATCTGCAAATGGGGCTTACCTTTCTCACTCAGATGGGAGTGGGAATCCTTGGAAACTCCTTCTTTCTTTGTCTTTGTAACTTCACCTTGCTTACTGGACACAAGATTAGACCCACGGATCTTATTCTCAACCAGCTGGCCTTTGCCAATTTGTTTGTGCTTTTCTCTAGAGGGATCCCTCATACAATAGCAGCTTTTGGATTGAACTATTTCCTGGATAAGGCTGGATGCAAACTTCTCTTCTATTTTCACAGAGTGGCCAGAGGGGTTTCCCTCAGCACCGCCTGTCTCCTCAGTGGCTTCCAGTCCACAAAACGTTGTCCCTGTTTCTCTAGGTGGTTGGAGCTCAGAATGGGATCCCCAAAGTTCACTGGCTTCTGTTGTTTTCTCTGCTAGATCCTGCAACTGTTGGTAAATATCTTTGTTTCTATGAATGTGACTAGTCAAATAAACAGCAAAAATGTAAGTGTGAAAATAAATTGTGTATACTGTTCTTTGCTCAAACCAGCTAGATGTATAAAGTTTCTAGTCGTATTCATATTCTCTGCAACTGACTTTATGAGTTTGGGCCTCATGATCTGGGTCAGTGGCTCCATGGTCCTTTTCCTGCACAGACACAAGCAGCGAGTCCAACACATTCACAGCAACAGGATCTCCTCAGAGCTTCTCAAGAGGCCAGAGCCACACGCACCATTTTGATCCTTGTGAGCACCTTTTTTTCCTTTTACCTCACTCTTCTCTCTTTTGCACGTTTGGATGACTATTTGTTATTCCAGGTCAGTGGCTGGTGGACACCTCTATGATTTTGTCCTCGTGTTTCCCAGCGTTCAGTCCCTTTGTGTGTTCATTCGTGGTGACACTCGATTCTCTGCGTTTCACGTGGCCTGCTAGTCAAGGAAACGCCCTTTTCCCAGCTCGCCCAGGGAGGGCCCCCCGGAGGAGGTGTGCCCTGGGTGAAGCCACTCAGGAACCCTGCCCCAGGAACTTCTCGGCCCAGCTTCCTGCACCTGGGGGCCATCAAGGGGCTCAGGGTAGGAGCGGCCGGGGGCGTGGCCCCCAAGTGGTCTCCGGGGCTGGCGACCCTGAGCCTGACCCGTAGGTCGCTTCTGTCGCCTATGTAACCGCTGAGGTCCCCGAAACGGCCTCAAACGCCTCGGCCCCGCACGTGAGGGGGATGAGGCAAGGACCCTCCCGCGCTGCGGCCGCGGTGTCTACGCGGCCCCGTGGAGTGACGCGTCCGTGTGGATCCGGAGCCTTTGCTTCCTGAACCTGAATTAACGTCTCTAGCCACGTGGACACTTAGCTGGGTTTGGGACCGCGGAAATCGGCCAGCGGCCCCTTTAAGGAGCGGCAAGGCCCTGTCTCGCTCTTGGTGTCGCGCCTTTTCCTAGCGCCTTCGCGCGGCCGGTTGGCCCTTGTTCCGGGTGAATCTCGGGGACGGCACTGGCACCCTGGGCGTCTGAGAACTACATTACCCATAATGCTGAGCGCCAAGCTGCAAAGACGCGGAGCCAATCAACGTTCAGGATCGGGCCTGTCTCCGTTTGTTGCAAACGGTAAGGCGGAACTTCCGGCACCGCTCCGAGATGGTCTTTTTGGGGGTTCACTACCTCGGCCCACGCCGCCTGAGTTAGCAACGCTGCCCCCGGCACAGAGCGGGGGTCGCCCCGCTACGCTGCAGCCCGTGGGTCGTTGTCGCTGGTGGCAGCTGTGCCTGGGTTCCCTGGCCCCGCTCCACTCACAATCCGATGGCGGCGGCCGTGCTGAGAGATTCGACTTCGGTGAGTGCTACGTCCCCCCGGCCTCACCTGCTCTCCCCGCCGGAAATCCAGCACCCTGCGTGAGGGGCGCCTGCTTTCGTCCCTGCAGCCCGGCCCGAGTCCGGGACTGTGAGGCCCTCGCGGGTGGGGCTCCCGTTTACAAGCCTGGTGTCGTGGGCTGTGGAGGGTGTGGCAGGCGGAGGGGCCGGTTTCTGTGACTCTTGTTGGGGCGATTGAGCCAGGAGCGTTCACGCCGGAATGGCAAAGTGAGGCTCTTTCTTTTCAAGACGCTGAGAGCCATGGGTGGTTATGAACAGCTGCGGCACATGGTCTGAGTTAGACTTTTGAAAATTTTCCTGAAGTTAAGAGTTAGAACAGCCTGGAAGGGGGATAACACCGAGGCACAGGGAGGTTGAGTCCTTGTGCAAGGTCCCAGAGCAGGTAAGAGTCACACGGAACTGAGGCGCAATGATAATTTAGTCATCACCAAGTCACCTGTCTCCAGGGCTGCGCAGGGAAACAAGGAGGCATGAGCCCATGGACCTTCCACCATAGTTACCTGCGTCTCACAGCCTTCCTCTTCCCGCAGGTTCCCGTGACTGCAGAAGCTAAAGTTATGGGCTTCACACAGGTGAGTGGAGAGTGTTTCGGGGCCTCACTGGTGCTGACCCCAGTGTTTGTCTCTGAGATTGTGTTCTGGGACTCTTCTCTTGGCACTCTGTGGGTCTTTGGTTCTAGGAACCCTGAACAAACATCAATCCCAGGGTCATACATCCAGGCTGGAAGCTGGTATAGAACGGTTCCTATGGCTGGAAACCAGCAAAGTAAGGTGTGGAACGTTGTCTCAGGCTTATGTACTAGATGAGCAAGTGCTTGAAAGTCAAGCTGAGCTGGTTTAGTGAACTACAACTTTTTTCTTTCTCATGGGAACTGAACGCTGGGATGCAGGAATCAGACAAAAAATGGCTCTCAGTTGTTGGGTGTTTCTTCTGGAGTGTGTGATGAGCAATGATAGTTTGGGAGCAGAGGAGGTATGTGACCTGATCCAGTTCTCATCAGGTTCTCTGTGTGGCCAAGCTGAGAGAACAGGCTGAGTGTGAGGTATGAGATAGGAAGATAGTGAAGAAGGCTGCTGTAGTAGTCCAGATGAGTGTTACTGGTGGCAGGACTTGTGTGGTGGCTGTGGAGGTAGTAGTTGGATTCTGGAACCGTTTTTTAAGTAGGGAAGCCTGGATTTTGAGATGTTGAAGGCAAGAGATAGAAAAGTAGGATTCAGGGGTAAAAGCAGGTTGTTTGGGTTTAGCAGCTGGAAATATGGAAGCTCCACTAGCGAGGATTGTAAAATTGGTAGTAGAGTCAGTTGTCTGTAGAGGTAATCAGAAATTTTGATTTGGAACATCTTTATTTTTAATTTTTTTTTTTTTTTAATCATTATCTGAACATGGCCCAATGGGACATCTTTAGAGTCTGAGATGGTTCAAAGAACAGTTAGTTTAGACATCAAGTGGATAGTCTATCCAGAGGACTAGAACTGTGGGGAGGGATTCAGGATGGAGACATTTAAAAGGTGGCCACTACTTGCCTAGGGGTATAGCTTGGGACACAGTTAGGAGGTGGAATCCTGATCACTCTAGTAACGCTGTTACCAGTCCAGGGAAGGGAGGTTGGGGGTCACTACTGGGTCTTCTGCTGGGGGACATGGTTGATCATGGTGGGAATCACAAAGACAGGTATGAGAGAGAAGTGGCCATGGTGGGGTGTGAGAGCAAGGATGATCTGGCAAGTGGCCAAGGATCTAGGAGAAGAGTGGGCATGAGATCAATGCTTGGAAGTAATCCAAACAAGATGACACTGAGACCAAAACTAGTGCTTTCTCAGCACTCTAGATCTATCTACCAGGGTTTTGTGGTAACCGTTGAGGTGTCAGGAATTTCAGGGAGGTGGATAAGTTGAGAGTCACAGGTGGTCATCTGGGAGAGTTACTGGGCCTGAGGTGTGGGAGTCCTCTGGGGCAGACTTTGAATGAGGGTTAACAGGAGAGAAAGACTGTGACTTAACAGAGGAGATCAAGTGCAGCACTAGTGGAAGAGGGCCATGGGTGTCAGAACCCCAGGTATTTCTGGGTGACTGAGGATGTAGCAAGGGACAGAGTCAGGCAAGGAGGCCTTCAGAGCAGGATGGGGCTCTGAAGGGCTGCCTTTGGCAGTGGGGACATTCAGCCTCTGAGTAGCACCGGACCTCATTTCAGTTTGCCAAGCACTTTCTGGATGTTGCGTTCCAAATATCGTGGGGATGCCAGAGAACTGCCTATGGTGTGGAGCAACAGGGTGGAAATCGCCGTGGAAGTGAGATTGTTTGAGGGTGTGTGCTTCAAAGAGTGATGTGCATATGGAGAGGAAGTGTGAACTGAACAACCCATGGCCATGGCATTGAGGATATAAGAATGATGGCTAACCCCATCATTGCTTGTATGTGAGAGGCATACTTTTGGAAACTCCAGGAGAATTGTCTGACAAGACAGAATCCAACCCTATATGCTAGACCCAGAGTTTAAATGGCATTTCCTGGCCCACCTGCCTGTTGGTGCTGTGGGAAGACACAGTGATGATGGGACCATGAGGAGAGAGAGGGCAGGAATCAGTGCCACCAGGGCTTGGTATCTCCTCTGAGGTGGGGCTTAGGGTTGGGGGTAAGCAGGGGAAGGATGCATGGGGGGCATGAACTTGGGATCCTAGGAGAGAATCTGATCATGGAAAGATCTGTCCCCATCATGGCAGGGCTCTGTGACCTTTGAGGACGTGGCCATTTACTTCTCCCAGGAAGAATGGGGGCTCCTTGATGAGGCTCAGAGGCTCCTGTACCGTGATGTGATGCTGGAGAACTTTGCACTTATAACTGCGCTGGGTAAGGCCCTCACAACCACTCTCGTCTCCTGGTCTTTGTCTATCCTTTTTCTCCCCAGAGGCAGCTCTGTCGGACCATGGGCTCTGCTGACTTCCCCACTGTCTTGGCATATGTGCTGTGGTGTAAGGAATGAAATCATTGCACTCCTTAATCAGCCCTGGTATTTGCTGTTCCAAAACGCACCGGGATGGGTCTGGGTGTTAGGTGTCTTGAGTCAGCCTAATGCATCTCAGTTTATTTCTTCACTTCCTCTTTGGGTGGCTGTGTTCATATTCATGGTACTTTGTGTCTCAGGTTCTGCCTCCTTGATGACATTTCCTTTGACTACCTGTGTTAGGAATTTGCAGAATTTTCCTCATCAGTATTTACATGGACCATGAGCTGTTGTTGCCAGAACCTCCTTCAGGATCTGTGTGATATTAATTTTCTTTCTTGTGTTCTCAAGGAAGCTGACTTGCTCTGGGCTACTGCAGGATACTCACCTGTCCCAGCTGTCCCTTAGGACTTGCTTCATTCAAGTCCCAAGTAGTGGCACATCTAGAGGTGCCGGGAAAGCCCTGGTTGTTGGAAAGGGTGAAGATGGGAATATGGCTTCAGAGGAAGCCTGGCCTCAGTCAGTGGCACCTGGGTGAGGACATGGCATCCAGCCTGTTTTCTAATCTTACCAGGAATTTGCCCTGTGTCATCCAGAGTTTGGTGCTAATGCTACTGGACACACCTCATTTCTACGTTTTTCTTCCTCTTCTTTGACACTTTGCTGGCTTATTGCTTCATCTGGGACATCTGGCCTCATGCTGCCCCATCTTTCTGCCCTCCATGTGTCACCAGTTTCTCTGCACTGCCTCCTGCATGTTTTCCAACACTGACCCACTCCCAATATGTTGTGAGTTGTGCATATGCCATTAAATATTTCTTGAACACAAGATCGCAGTTGGAATCTCTCACTCACTTCCAATTGCATTATCTTGGGCCTGAATAATGCCAACCTTCAGCACAGCATACACATGCCACCAGCTGACAAGATCTTGCCACAGGATTTGGCAAAGGAGTAGATTGGAGACCCTGTCTGTCCTTATGTGCTGCACCCCATCCTTGATATCCTGTGTTTGGTGAGGCCTCCCCATTTTGTGATCTTTAGAGGCCCCCTACTGCTAGGCAGCCCCTTTCTTATCCTGCTTTCAGCTCCTCAATGTTGCTTCAAAGCAATACTGTGAATTCATTCCTTGATGTCTATGTGAAGGTGCTTCCCTTTCCTGTTATGTACCCACAGGGTTTTAATTAATGGAGGTGGTAGAGTGCCAATACAGAGAGGTTAATGTCAATGACGTAGGAATTTATCACCTGCAGTAGCAAGAGCATGTGAGCACTGTGCCATGCAGGGCCACAAGAGAGAAGGGAAAATATTAAGCCACAGCCTTTATTGGGGTTTCTGCAGATAACACAAGACATGATAAACAGTTTAGGATTGGGTAATTTGAGTGGTTTGCTTTGGGGCAAAGGGGCTCACTGGGCTTAGTTGTCTGCTGCCTGACCTTGGGATGATTAGAGCAGAGGAATATTAGCTCCTGAAACATCCAAGTCACATAGAAAATGTGATTGGGAGTATGGGGCTCTGAATTGATTTTGTATTTGTTATGCTTCTTGCTGAGCCCTTTGCTATCTCTTAAGAGTTGGCTCACTCTGGAAGCACCATTCTCTCCCCAGCCAGCAAAGTGTTTTATTTTGTTTTCTTTTGCGTTTGAGACAGTTTCACCTTGTCTCCCAGGCTGGAGTGCAGTGGTGCGATCTGGGCTCACTGCACACTCCGCCTCCCGGGTTCAAGCAATTCTCCTGCCTCATCCTCTTGAGTAGCACCCGCCACCACACCTGGCTAATTTTTTGTATTTTTAGTAGAGACAGGGTTTCGCCATATTGCCCAGGCTTGTCTCAAACTCCTGAGCTCAGGCCAGCAAAGTTTTTAAGATATCAGAACATTAATTATTCAGAAAATAGTTTTTTTTTTAAATGGTTAATACACTGCCATCATAGTCAATGTGCATTTCATCAGTGTTTCTCTGCTTTCAGTTTGTTGCCATGGGATGGAGGATGAAGAGACACCTGAGCAAAGTGTTTCTGTAGAAAGAGTACCTCAGGTCAGGACTCCAGAGGCCAGTCCATCCACCCAGAAGACTCAATCCTGTGACATGTGTGTCCCGTTCCTGACTGACATTTTACACCTGACTGATTTGCCTGGGCAGAAACCATGCTTGACTGGGGCATGTGCAGTCTTTCACCAGGAACAGAAGCATCATAGTGCAGAGAAACCCTTGGAAAGTAACATGGACAAGGCCTCATTTGTGCAGTGCTGCCTATTCCCTGAGTCAGCAATGCCTTTCACCAGCATTGAGGTTGGGAAGGACTTCCTAGCCCCATTGGGTGTTCTTCAGCCTCAGGCTATTGCTATCTATGAACAACCCAACAAAATCAGCAAATGTGAGGAGGCCTTTCATGTTGGAATAAGTCATTACAAGTGGAGTGAATGCAGGAAAGAGTCCAGCCACAAACAAACTTTTTTTCACCCTAGAGTCTGCACTGGAAAAAGGTTTTATGAATCTAGCAAATGTGGGAAAGCCTGCCGCTGTGAGTACTCCCTTGTTCAGCTCCAAAGAGTCCACCCTGGAGAAAGGCCTTATGAGTGCAGTGAATGTGGGAAGACTTTTAGCCAAACCTCTCATCTGAATGATCATCGGAGGATCCACACAGGAGAAAGGCCTTATGTGTGTGATCAGTGTGGGAAATCATTTAGCCAAAGAGCCACCCTCATTAAACATCACAGAGTTCACACTGGAGAGAGGCCTTATGAGTGTGGGAAATGTGGGAAATCTTTCAGCCAGAGTTCCAACCTTATTGAACATTGCAGAATTCACACTGGAGAAAGGCCTTATGAGTGTGATGAATGTGGAAAAGCCTTTGGATCCAAATCCACTCTTGTTCGGCACCAGAGAACTCACACAGGAGAAAAGCCATATGAGTGTGGTGAATGTGGGAAATTATTCAGACAAAGCTTCAGCCTTGTTGTACACCAGAGAATTCACACTACAGCAAGGCCTTATGAGTGTGGCCAGTGTGGGAAATCATTTAGCCTAAAGTGTGGCCTCATTCAGCACCAGTTAATTCACAGTGGAGCTAGGCCCTTTGAGTGTGACGAGTGTGGAAAATCCTTTAGCCAAAGAACCACCCTCAATAAACACCACAAAGTTCACACTGCAGAAAGGCCTTATGTATGTGGGGAATGTGGGAAAGCTTTTATGTTCAAATCTAAACTTGTTCGGCACCAGAGAACTCACACTGGAGAAAGGCCTTTTGAGTGCAGTGAATGTGGGAAATTTTTTAGACAAAGCTATACCCTTGTTGAACACCAGAAAATTCACACTGGATTAAGGCCTTATGACTGTGGACAGTGCGGGAAATCCTTTATCCAAAAGTCTAGCCTCATTCAACACCAGGTGGTTCACACGGGAGAAAGGCCATATGAGTGTGGCAAATGTGGGAAGTCCTTTACACAACACTCTGGCCTCATTCTCCACCGAAAATCTCACACTGTGGAGAGGCCTCGTGACAACAGCAAATGCGGAAAATCCTACAGCCCAAGAGCTAACATTGTTTAACTCCTGAAACTCCACACTGGAGAAAAGGCTTAGACCTGCAGGGAATGTGCCATGTCTTTCTTCAGTGTTATGGCTATAGAGAGTCTTTGTGAAGGAGCCATCTGCCTAAAGTTAAACCTCATACTGGTAGACCTCCAGATGGGTGAGACTCTCATGAGTTCCAGGCACATGTGTCTTGCAGGAGCTCCTTTGCACGTTCTAAACTGCTGGAGGCCTTTGCAGGAGTTAAATCATTAGTCACCCTTGCGTACTAAGGCGAGGGAGATACACCTGTGTGCTCCCATTCCTTGGAGGAAATTCCTTGAGCAGTCTGAGCCTTTAAGGGGAATTCCTTTCCTTTTCTGACTGATTACAGCATACATCTGACCAGTTTTGGCCAGAAGGACCCAGCCTGGGTTCTGCTGGAAGCTGATGTGGAAGGCTTCCCTTCATGGAAATTCTTGTTCTCACACGACACTTGGTAGTTTTTCCAGCCTCCAAGTCACCACCTCGTAACTGGCTGTCTCACATTGCTCTGGTTTGCGTGGTAATAAAGGCCTTATTTTTAAATCTGTGTAGTCTTAGGGTTTGGTTTACTGTGTAAGGTGGTGGAAAACACACTTGGGCTCTTACATAAAGGAATGGACAGCTTTTGTGGGGCCCCAATGTCGTTGGCCTGTGCAGGAAAAATAAAACGACAGAGAGTAGTTCTCATTCTGGTTTTAGTCCAGTTTGCCTTACTGCCCAAGGCCTCCTAGGAAACAATGCAATAATTTTATTGTCCTAATTTCTGGCCTGTATCCCTACACTTTCTCTGGACTAGTCATTCTGAGGACAAGTCTGCTGTTATGACAGGCTCCTGTGCTTTGGAGAATAAGATGGATTTGTGGCATTGTTCCCACAGGCTGTAATGCCCAGCACTGTTGAGACAAAATTTTTTCCCAGCTTCTGCAAAGGAACCACGTGCCCTGATGACCACGATTCCACAGATGGCGGGACTCAAGCTGATGGGAGCTAAGCATTGGACATAATTGGTACAGAAATTTTGGGTATGATTAATAGGAAGTGGAGGAGCTCGTAGCAAAAAGACAAGTGTGCCTGTGGTAAAAGTGCATCTACGCATCTAGTAACTGGCTGTGTCTTTATTTTCGCAACACAATCTTCTTGTACAAGGTGTGACAGTGTAGGCGTAGCCTGGCTTAGAGGGAACAACTCCATTCTGCATGTGATTGTCAGAGCGTGGAGCCAGGCAAGCAACCTGGGGGCTTCCATGGGATGGTTCGATGTGAGTGCAGGAGGACACACAGGAGGTAGAGAATCAGAAGGAGCCTGGGTAGCAGAAACCTTAACTTGGAAATGACATCCCCCATCATAGGCTTTACCCTCTGCCACAGTTACCCCATTTTCAGAGGCAGAGTCCTTTGCCCTCGTGCCCTACTTGGAGCTCAACCCTCAGATGTCCTGGCTCTCTGCAACTTTCCTAGTGACCAAGCAATAGGTCCTAATATCCAACAGTCTGAGGTCAACTTTCTGTCTCTGACTTGCCAGGCATTGGTGCCTTTCAAGGTCATGGCTCTGACCTTCACCTGGTGGAAATGTGGATATTTGGGCCTGGCCCAGAGGATGTTGCACCAAGATAGGAGGCTGGAGAACTGTGGGCTCTTGGTCTTGCTGGGTAAAGCTTTATTTGTGTCCCATTTGGGTGACCCTAGTCCTCTGATTCCATCCTGTTGCACACACCTGCCTGGTGAGAAAGGCATCTCAAGCTCTTCTGCCTCTACCCACAGGTCCTGCTGTATGCTCTGTTTTGGTCTCACATTCTTTTGCCTGGTCTCCCTGTGTCAGCACTGGGGATCACTGGGGTAGAAACGGCCCTTTAAACACAAATCCTCACCCTAGTGCCCAGCACACTCTGCCCTTTGAGGTCCTTATTCCAGAATTTAGGCAAGAAAACTTGACTGATCCAGCCTGGTTGGGTCAGGTATCCCCAGAGATCAGTTAACAGGACTGTGAGGGTGGACTGTTCTCAAAGAAGGGGCTGAGTTAGGCAGACCACCAAAGTAGCATGTCCATCATTATCCCCCAGGTATCTTATTATATAATACTGCCTTTTTTTTTTTCTTTTTTTTTTTTTTTTGGAGTCTCACTCTGTCGCCCCAGGCTGGAGTGCAGTGGCATGATCTTGGCTCACCACAACCTCCACCTCCCAGATTCAAACGATTCTCCTGCCTCAGTCTCCTGAGTAGCTGGGATTATAGGCGTGCACCACCACGCTCAGCTAATTGTTGTATTTTTAGTAGATATGGGGTTTCGCCATGTTGACCAGGCTTGTCTTGAACTCCTGACCTCAGGTGATCCACCTGCCTCGGCCTCCCAAAGTGCTGGGATTACAGGTGTGAGCCACCACGCCCAGTTGCTTATTTTTTTAAAGAGCTCCTTGTGTCAGCATGAATTGTCCTCACTTCCTGAGGCCTGTTACACTCGTCCAGTGGTAAGGGAGATGGTTTTAGAGGGCACAGAGGTATGACATCAGGTGGCATTGTTGTAGGGCAGTTGAGCCGCCAAATTGGGGCTTAGTCCAAGAAGGTTCTTAGCTTCACTCAGGAAAGAATTCAAGAGCAAGCTAGTGGTAGATGAAAACAACTTTGTTGGGGCAGCAGGGTTACAGCTCTGTGGCTGCTCCTACAGAGCAGGGCAACCCCATAGGCATTGCGTCCAGAGTATCAGCTCAGGGGGCAGCTCTGCAGTCATATTTACACCCACTTTTAACTACATGCAAAGTAAAGGGTGGGTTATTCGGAAATTTCAAGAAAAGGGAAGGTAATTTCCAGGTGTTGTCAAGGTAATGGTAACCTGCCATGGCACTGGTGGGTGTGTATTATGTAGAGATGCTCTCAGTGCCTGTTCCTTGTTTCAGCCAGTCTTCAGTCTTGTATGGAGTCCTGCCTCCTATCTCACTCCCCCATCAGAGATTAGATACTCCTCTTTAATCTTAAGGGGGCTGAGGAAGGGCAGAGGTCCATCTTCTGTGACTGCTTGCTGCTGATTTTATGGGCATAGGCCCTGCCTAGCACTAAAGGAGTAAAGATCCCTGGATACCACATCTAAGGTGCCCAAAGGCAGGACACTTTCATTCTCTGGGACAGTAGATAAAGATGGGTTGGAAAACTTCTGCCAGCATTGTCTTCACCTGGAACTAGAACAGGATACACCAACCCCTCTGCTGTGGATACTGGTCCATGGTCTGTTAGGAACTGGGCTGCACAGTAGGAGGTGAGTGGTCAGTGAGTGAGCATTACTGCCTGTGTTACCTCTTGTCAGATCAGTGGCAGCATTAGATTCTCATAGGGGTGCTAACCCTAACATAAACTGTGCATGTGAGGGACTGGGGTTGCACACTCCTTATGAGAATCTAGTGCCTGATGATCTGAGGTGGAAAAGTTTCATCCTGAGACCACTCCCCAGCCCCAGCCCCACATACCCCATCTGTGGAAAAATTGCCTTCCACGAAACTGGTCCCTGATGCCAAAAAGGTTAGAGACTGTTGATCCAGAAGACACAAACTTTACTGAGAGGTTAAACAAGCAAGGGTCAAAGAAAATATGTAACAGGGTCACTTGCTCATAGGTCTTTTGAATGTTAACCTATCCAGAGTTGCTAATATATGTGCAGCAGGTTTTATTAATAACTGCACAGACTTTACCTTGTTCTGCTAGTAAATAATACAATGCCAGTCTGTTATCGAGAACTGCATTTGCCAGAGTCTAGAGATTCTTGAATTTCTGGTAGTGCCTGACCTGTGTTGGTGGCTAAAGATTCTAGAGTTTGAGTCAAGTTCTTTAGGGTTGATTTGTGGTAGGCAAAGCCACCCTAAGGTGCTGCTAGTCCTATGGCTGCCCTGATTCCCACCAGAACCAATCCTATTGCTTGTTAACTTCTGGTGTTCCTGGGCCTTATTGGGTTATAGACTGTGACCCTTGGAGGGGCAAGGGTGGCCAACATACATTTATCTTTGTTCCAAGTTTTAGATATATAAGGGAAAGCTACTCCTGAAAGAACAGATGGCTCCCTGGGGAGCCAGGAGTAGTTACAGCATGAGACTTCTCATTCATGGCCACAAACAAAAATGAGTCCAGTTGGAGCATAAATAGAGGCCCTACAGGGTGTGATGTCTATCCTTTGCTGCCAAGTTTGGTCTGTAGAGATATTCTTCCCCTGTTCCAATGGGGGTGGTCAAACAAACCTTGTTTTCCAGAAGCAAACCCTCCTAGATTAGGCAGTCGTTTTTTTCCCTGTATGTTCTAGTCTGAGAGAAGACACCATATGTGGTCTCCTTTCCTACAAGTGGCATATATGGTCTCCTTGCCATTTACCTTGCTTTTGCCTTGGAAACTTGGTAACTATAGTTAGATCAAAGCATTACAGGGAAACATCTGCTTTTGTGTCATTAACACAGTAGTGGGTGCAAAAGAATCATTAATGCACTGGAGATATACTCAACTTTTCAAGTCCAGGTATAATGGCAAGTGTGGAAGGGGATGTTCAGGTGGAATCCATTAAGTGGAGGAGAGTTCCACTGAATAAGTAGGGGTTTAAGTACTTTGGGATTGCTGTGGTTAGTTAGAAGGACTGGGTAGATGGCTGTGAGATCTTCCAGATAGGCCAGAAGATGGAACTCTAGATCCTGGGGATGTTGATGACAAGTCCAGCAACCATGAAGATGATTCCCTGACACTATAATTTTTGAAATGTTTACTATAGAGGTTTGATCTAATTAGAACAATTTGAGGATTTCTGTCTAAACTTTCACCTAGTGAGAGCTTTATATCCCTAATGATAGATATTCATGGCACTGTATAGGGGGATATTTCACCCTGAGTGAATGCTCTTCTCCCTCTCCATTTGGGTTGTGTTTTTCCTCCATGTAAAAACTCAGGACTGCTCAATGAATCTAGACAGTTCCATTATGAGACAAGTTAATTTTCTTCTTCTGGAAGGCATACAATGGGGACAACCTATTAATCCCCAAACCTCTCTTTCTAACTTCTTCCTGGAAAGAATTTGGAGTCACAGTTCTTATTTAACATTTCAGATCTTACAGCATCACCAAGTGAAATAGGATTTTTTCTCCATAAGGAGCCCTGTCTGCCCTCTGTGCAAAACCTTTAGTTCCCCGATTCCTCTCCCTCCTATGTGCCTCTGTTAGGGACTAAGCTCCATGTCCCATCTGTTAACAGCAAAGCTGTACTTTTAACAGTTGGGAGAACAGCCATTCAATCCTTATGTTCTTTTGAGTCACCTGTTTTGCATTGAACTACATTGGTATTTAAATAAAAAGGAGATTTCATATTTGGAAGTCAATCGGTCCCATTCTCTGGGATTTCAATGTTTTACTAGGGCTATAGCAAGGAAAGCCAGAGATAGTATTAAAACACTCCCTCCATTAAAGGGTCTCACCCAAATACAGTATCTCCCAGATTGCTAGGGTACCCTGGGAGCCTTATGGGCCATGTGGGACTAGGAAACCAGCAGGGTGGAGAGGTAGGTTCTCATACAGGTAAGTGTGACTATTAC